GTCCAGCCGCTGATAACACTTAGACTCATGAAAGATACAATTTATTGTTGACTCTGTGGGAGGAGAGACTAGTGCCTCCTTGTTAACTGGGTCATCCCATCATCAGACCCTGGAGGGTGGGCCTTCTTCACCACCCCATCTTGCAAATGTGAAATTCAGACATTAGCAGGGCATGGTGGCACGCACCTGTAGTCCCAGCTACTCAAGAGGTTAAGACAGGAGAATTGCTTGAACCCAGGTCGCAGAGGTTGCAGTGACCGAGATCACGCCATTGCGCCCCAGCCTGGGCCACAGAGTGAGACTCTAGCTCAAAAAAAAAAAAAAAAAGAAAGAAAGAAAGAGAAAAAAGAAATTCAGACACAGAAAGGGGCACCAGTGCAAGCTCATGTACCTAATATTACAGGAAATGCAGAGGCTTGGGAGATGGTTTGTAATAAATGATGATACTGAGCTGGCCGCAGTGGCTCGTGCCAGGAATCCCAGCACTTTGGGAGGCCGAGGCAGGAGGATCTCATGCACTTAGGAGTTGGAGGCCAGCCTGGACAACATAGTGAGACCCCATCTCTACAAAACAAAATCTTGAAAATTAGCCAGGCGTGGTGGCATGCACCTGTAGTACCCAGCTACTTGGGAGGCTAGCATAAATTATAATACCGGAGAGGAGGGGTGTTATTTTGGGAAAGCGAGGCAGCCCCTGGGGATTCACTATCCCCCTCCCAATATGCAACCCAGCTGTGTCACTCCTCCACCCTCCGCCTTAGGCCAAGCTGGGGGTGACCCCACCTGTGACCAGCTCAATGCCCGGTAGAAGTGTACCAGGGGAGCCCACCAGTATCTCCACACAATCATGGGACGAAAATCGTGGTTTTACTTCGCAGCTTCAGGATGAGCCCTATGGGAACCAGCAGCCGCCCCCACCCCACAAACCAGATCGCCGCTCCGGAGCCCGCAGCTCAGCCCCACTGGGGGGGCCTGCGGCAAATGCAAGGATTCTGACGAATGCAGTCTAAATAGAATGAGAAAGGGGGCTGCGGCCCGAGAAACTGAGGCAAGGCCTGGGGCGGGAGGGTGAGGGCTGAGGGGGAGGGGCAGGACTTCTCCGATGCCTGTTTACCAGGCGCTCCCCGCCCTTCCTCCGCCCAATTCCTGCGGGTGGCCAAGCCTGGCTGGGGGCTGGGACGGGGGAGACCGCACTGGGGGCGCCCTAAGGGGCCTCACCCCCAAGGCAGGGGTCAGGGCACGTGGGGTCCCGGGCGTCTCTGGGAGGCCGCTGGGTTGGGCGGTCCCTGCACCACCTCCCCCCACCCCAGCCCCTCCACCATCCCGGGGCGGGACCACGGGGCGGAGCTGGAGGGTGACCGGCCGTGACGCGTGCCCCGCCCGCTCATATAGCGGCTCCTGGGGGCGCAGGGACCGTGCTCTGCCGTCTCCGCCGCATCCTCCTCCACCCGCGCCGCCGCCGCAGCTCCCCGCGCCCGCGCCACCGCCGCCGCGTCCACCCTCAGCGCCACCGCCATGCGGGAGATCGTGCACCTGCAGGCCGGCCAGTGCGGCAACCAGATCGGGGCCAAGGTGCGCGCGGGGGACGGGGCCCGGGGAGGCGGCGGCGGCCCGGGGGAGCAGCGCGGGGGGTCGGTCCCCGAGCACCCCCCAACCTGGGAGCCTTTGGAGAGCGATGGGGTCCCCAGGAGGCCAGCGTGCCCCAGAGGCCATGGGGAGGGGTCGCTGGGGGCAGGGGGCGGCAGGGCCAGGCTGGGAACAAAGAGGCTGCGGAGAGGGGGAGCCAGCCTTCTGGCCTTCTGTCCGCCTGTCACAGCTGGGCTCACAGCTGGGCCACTGTCCCCTCCTCGCGCACAAAGAGCCCCCGTGCCTCCCCCGGGCTGCAGCCTGGGTGCGCTGGCACCAGCCGGCCCCGCTGGGTGCTGACTCGGCTGCACCCCGCCCCCACCACTCCTTCCTGCTGCCTCATCCTCGCCCCGACACCATCCATGCCTCTAGGTCCCCCGTTCACCTTGCTGGGGGAGAGGTGGCAGCTAGGGAGGTAGTTGCCGGCTGGGGGGAGCCCTCGGCCTGGCCGCCGGCTCCCCCTCACTCAACCCTTCCCACCACGTCTCTCTCTAGTTTTGGGAGGTTATCAGTGACGAACATGGCATCGACCCCACAGGCACATATCATGGGGACAGTGACCTGCAACTGGAGAGAATCAACGTGTACTACAACGAGGCCACAGGTAGGGTGAAGGAGGCACCTTCCAGGTGGGGAGGGGCAGCCAGGAGTGGACAGGATGCTACCGGGCGCCTGTGGTTCCTGGCACGAACCGAACTGCCCTCCATCTGTTTCCCTGCAGGAGGAAATTATGTCCCCAGAGCGGTTCTTGTGGACCTGGAGCCCGGCACCATGGACTCTGTCCGTTCTGGCCCCTTCGGGCAGATCTTTCGTCCGGACAACTTCGTGTTTGGTGAGTCCTCAGCAGGGAGCGGAGGCTGGAAAACCTCCTTATTCCTCTCATTTCCAAATGCTTGGTGAATGTTCTCTACCTAACACCACAGAGTCAATAGGCACTACCAGGGCCCACACACCAGAGGAGGGTGTGGACAGGGGGCCAGGCACCAGCCCTGCATCGATGACTGTGAGGGGGATGCTCAGGCCACTGTGAGAGCTCTGGGGAGGGCTGATACAGAGAGGGATTCAGGGAAGGCTTCCTGGAGGAGGTGACATTTTAATTGAACTGGAACCAGACTGTCTGGGTGCATACCCCAATTCTGCCATTTCATGCATTTAACAAACGGTGAGCACTTAACTGCATACCAAGCCCTGTTCTAGAAGCTGCAGATACAGGGAAGAATCAAACAGACAGCTTCCTCTCTGCCCCAGTGGAGCTCACGTTCTGGTGGAAGGTGTTGGGCCACAGATGAAATACATAAGTAAAGCTCAGCGGGGGGATGATTCAGATGGATAACAGCGTGGGCTCTTCAGCCTTTCCGGGCCTCAAAATTCTCTTTTTTTTTTTTTTTTTTTCCAGACGGGGTCTGTCTATCCAGCCCTGTCACACAGGCCTGAGTGCAGTGGCATGATTACGGCTCACTGCCACCTCCACCTCACCTCCAGGCACAAGCGAGCCTCTTGCCTCAGCCTCCCAAATAGCTGGGACTACAGGCATGCACCACCATACCCAGCTCATATTTTAGTTTTCTTTGTAGAGATGCGGGTCTCTCTGTGTTGCTCAGGCTGGTCTCAAACTCCTAGGCTCAAGCGATCCACCCAACTCAGCTCCCAAAGTGCTGGAATTACAGGCATGAGCCACCTTGTCTGGCCTCCTTGTCTTTAAAACGTGTTTCACTGTGCATGGTGGCTCATGCCTGTAAACCCAGGAAAAGTAGAAGGGATTTTACAATGCTAACTGTTAGAATTCTGAGGTTTAAAGCCGTGAATATCTGTAAAGAATTTAGAACAATGCCTGACACAGAGGAAGAGGTAAATAAGCATTTGCTGTTGTTTTATTTTGAGACAGAGTCTCACTCTGTTGCCCAGGCTGAAGTGCAATGGCACCATCTCAGCTCACTGCAGCCTCTGCCTTCTGGGTTCAAGCGTTTCTCCTGCCTCAGCCTTCAGAGTAGCTGGGATTACAGGCACGCGCCACCAGGCCCAGCTAATTTTTGTATTTTTAGTAGAGGCGGGGTTTCACCCTATCAGTTAGGCTGGTTTGGAACTCATGACCTTGTGATCCACCCATCTTGACCTCCCAAAGTGTTGGGATTACAGGCGTGAGCCACCGCGCCCAGCCTGCTGTTGTTTTCATTACCATCGCTATCTGCAGCCTAGAATGTGATTTGTGAGTGGGATCTGGACTTGCCAAAGGGCACTGAAGGGAGGAGAGATGTTTCAGAAGGAAACGGCATATGTGAAGACAGCGGGACATCCACACCCTGGGACAGTCCTTCCGGGAAAGCTTTCCAGCCTCGGCTGGCTACACGTCCCCATCCTGGCCTCAGGCCCTGGCCTCACCCTCCTCTAGCACCCCGAGCATCTAAAGTGTGCTGATTACAGGGCCCTTTCTGCCTCTCTGAATCTTTTCTGTAACACTCCTCTTACTTCCATTTCACGGGTGAGAAAACAGAGACACAGAGACGTTAGGTCACATGCAGAAAGTCATACCACAAGCAAGTGGGGCAGCCAGGAACGAGGGGGTCTGACTACTAGGTCCACACTTTTATTTATTTTTTTTGAGATGGAGTCTTTTTTGCTCAGGCTGGAGTGCAGTGGTGTGATCTTGGTTCACTGCAACCTCCACCTTGTGGGTTCAAGCGATTCTCCTGCCTCAGCCTCCCAAGTAGGTGGGATTACAGGCACTTGACACCACGCCTGGCCAATTTTTTATATTTTTAGTAGAAACAGTGTTTTGCCATGTTAGCCAGGCTGCTCTCGAACTCCTGACCTCAGGTGATCTGCCTGCCTCAGCCTCCCAAAATGCTAGGATTACCGGCATGAGCAACCACACCTGGCCTGAGTCCACACTTTTTATTTTTGAGACAGAGTTTTGCTCTGTCACCAGGCTGGAGTGAAGTGGTGAGATCTCAGCTCACTGCAACCTCTGCCTCCCGCGTTCAAGCGATGCCCCAGCCTCAGCCTCCCGAGTAAATGGGATTACAGGCACTGGCCACCACGCCTGGCTAACTTTTTGTATTTTAGTTAGACACGGGGTTTCACCATGTTGGCCAGGATGATCTCGATCTCTTGACCTCCCAAGATGATCTGCCCGCCTGGGCCTCCCAAAGTGCTGGGATTACAGGTGTGAGCCACCATGCTCAGCAGAGTCCACACTTTTATTTTTATTTATTTATTTATTTTAAAGACGGGGTTTCACCATGTTGGTCAGGCCGGTCTTGAACTCCCGACCTCAGGAGGGTCCAAAGTGCCTTGGATTACCAAAGTGCAAGGTCCCCCGCCTTGGCCTCCAAAGTGCTTGGATTACAGGCGTGAGCCACCGCGCCCGGCCGAAAGTTTTTGTTTTATTTTTTTAAATGAATGAGAGGTTCTTATGTTGCACAGGTTGGCCTTGAACGCATAGCCTCACCTCCTCAAGCGCCAGGACAACTGGCCCGAGCCACTGCGGTTCCCAAGAGTCCACACTTTTAATGCTCCTCCCACCCCCAGGCCACCCAGAGGCCATAGAATCTCATGGCCCAACTGCAAGCCCTCTGTGGTCCTCCTGAAATCGCTCACACCCTGCGGCCAATCTCATTTCACCTTGATTTCACCCAGCCATTTCCCAAGGGCCTATGATGGGCCATGGCCACACACCTGCATTGTTATGTTTCAAAATCTTCCTACAGATCAGAGAAGGGAAGTCACTTGTCCAAGGTCACACAGCTTATCTTGTCAGTCCCAAGATTCCAGAGTCTAAACCACCAAGCTCGGGAAGAAGAGGGTGGGGGTTACCAGAGATGGCTTCTCTGAGGTTGTAGCATTGAGCTGAGACCTGAAAGAGGTGAGGAAAAAGTCACATGAATACCTGGAGGGAAAGCATTCTAAGCCTGGAGCAACCAGTGCAAAAGGACCCCGGGACAGGACCACACCTGGGAAGTTGGAGGATCAGCAAGGAGGCCCACATGGCTGAAGCAGAGTGAGGGTGGGGATGAGGCAGGTTCGCAGGAACTTCTGGGCTGCAGGGATGATTTGGACTTTGGGAGCCGTGGAGGGCTGTAGGCAGAGGAGGGACAGGACCCGACTCAGGTGCCCTCTTCTGGGTACTGTGGAGAGGACAGACCCGGGGATGAGGGTGGGAGCCAGGGAACCAGGACAGAGGGGACTGAATGTATCCAGCAGGGTAACACTGGAGCTGGACCAAGGTGGAGACTGATGAGGGGTGGAGGAAACATTAGCTGTTCACAGTCATAGTGGCCAATATTAAGAAAACACAGGCCAGGCCAGGCATGGTGGCTCACGCCTGTAATCCCAGCACTTTGGAAGGCCAAGACGGGTGGATCACCTGAGGTCAGGAGTTCAAGATCAGCCTGGCCAACATGGTGAAACTCCATCTCTACAAAAATACAAAAATTATCTGGGCATGATGGCAGATGCCTGTAATCCCAGCTACGCGGGAGGCTGAGGCAGGAGAATCCCTTAAACCCGGGAGGCAGAGGTTGTAGTGAGCCAAGATCATGCCACTGCACTCTAGCCTGGGCAACAAAGCAAGACTCTGTCTCAAAAAAAAGGAAAAAAAAGAAAACACAGGCCAGTCATGGTGGCCCACGCCTATAATCCCAGCACTTTGGGAGGTCAAGGCAGGTAGATTGCTTGAGCTCGGGAGTGCAAGACCAGCCTGGGCAACATAACAAACCTCTACGAGAAAGAAATAAAAAATTAGCCAGACGTGGTAGCATAAGCCTGTGAGTCCAGCTACTTCGGAGGCTGGGGCAGGAGGATCACTTGAACCTCAGAGGTTGAGGCTGCAGTGAGCCATGATTACACCACTGTACTCCAGACTGGGCAACATGGCAAGCCCCTGTTTGAAAATGATAATAATGTTAATTATGAATCCTTTTATTCTTGTTATTATTTATTAATTTTAGAGGCAGGGTCTCACTCTGTCTCCTGGGCTGGAGTGTGGCAGTGTGGTCATAGCACACAAAGCCTCCAGCTCCCGGGCTCAGGCAATTCTGCCACCTCTGCCTACGGAGTACTGGTATTACAGGCATGCCACCACCATGACTGGCTAATTTTTTTATTTTTATTTTGTAGAGTCAGGGTCTCACGATGTTGCCCAGGCTGGCCTCAAACTGCTGGGCTCAAGAAATCCTCCCACCTCGGCCTCCCAAAGTGGTGGGATTACAAGCATAAGTCATGTGCCCAGTCTTGATGCTGGGGACGTGTGTGTGCATGTGTGTGTTTTTGAGATGGAGTCTCACTCCATCGCCTAGGCTGGAGTGCAGTGGCTCAATCTCTGCCCACTGCAGCCTCTTCCTTCCTGGTTTAAGCAGTTCTCTTGCTGCAGCTTCCCAAGTGGCTAGGGACTACAGGCACCTGCCATCATGCCTGGCTAATTGTTACTATTTTTTTTTTTTAATTGGAGATGGAGTCTTGCTCTGTCACCAGGCTGGAGTACAGTGGTGTGATCTTGACTCACTGCAACCTCCGCCTCCCAGATTCAAGCAGTTCTCCTGCCTCAGCCTCCCGAGTAGCTGGGACAACAGGCACACGCCACCACACCCAGCTAATTTTTGTATTTTTAGTAGAGATGGGGTTTCACCATGTTGGCCAGGCTGGTCTCAAACTCCTGACCTTGTGATCCACCTGCCTCAGGCTCCCAGAGTGCTGGGATTACAGGCATGAGCCACCATGCCTGGCCATTGTTATTATTTTTGATAGTTACTAGTATCCAACTACTAGAGGCCCTCCAGGTGGTGGAGAGATAGGGTCGAGGGTGGGGGCTCCCCATAACTGACCGTGTGTCCCCTCCCCTTCCCCCTCCAGGCCAATCTGGAGCCGGCAACAACTGGGCAAAGGGGCACTACACGGAGGGCGCGGAGCTGGTGGACGCTGTCCTGGACGTGGTCCGGAAGGAGGCGGAGAGCTGTGACTGTCTCCAGGGCTTCCAGCTGACCCACTCGCTGGGGGGCGGCACAGGGTCCGGGATGGGCACGCTGCTCATCAGTAAGATCCGGGAGGAGTTCCCAGACCGCATCATGAACACCTTCAGCGTGGTGCCCTCGCCCAAGGTGTCAGACACGGTGGTGGAGCCCTACAACGCCACGCTGTCGGTGCACCAGCTGGTGGAGAACACAGACGAGACCTACTGCATCGACAACGAGGCGCTCTACGACATCTGCTTCCGCACCCTCAAGCTGACCACCCCCACCTACGGGGACCTCAACCACCTGGTGTCGGCCACCATGAGCGGGGTCACCACCTGCCTGCGCTTCCCGGGCCAGCTCAACGCCGACCTGCGCAAGCTGGCAGTGAACATGGTGCCCTTCCCACGCCTGCACTTCTTCATGCCCGGCTTTGCGCCCCTGACCAGCCGGGGCAGCCAGCAGTACCGGGCCCTGACGGTGCCCGAGCTCACCCAGCAGATGTTCGACGCCAAGAACATGATGGCCGCGTGCGACCCGCGCCACGGCCGCTACCTGACCGTGGCCGCCGTGTTCCGGGGCCGCATGTCCATGAAGGAGGTGGACGAGCAGATGCTGAGCGTGCAGAGCAAGAACAGCAGCTACTTCGTGGAGTGGATCCCCAACAACGTGAAGACGGCCGTGTGCGACATCCCGCCCCGTGGCCTGAAGATGGCCGCTACCTTCATCGGCAACAGCACGGCCATCCAGGAGCTGTTCAAGCGCATCTCCGAGCAGTTCACGGCCATGTTCCGGCGCAAGGCCTTCCTGCACTGGTACACGGGCGAGGGCATGGACGAGATGGAGTTCACCGAGGCCGAGAGCAACATGAACGACCTGGTGTCCGAGTACCAGCAGTACCAGGATGCCACGGCCGAGGAGGGCGAGTTCGAGGAGGAGGCCGAGGAGGAGGTGGCCTAGGCTGTTCCCATCGCTTGGCGTCTGTCCCCTCGAGGCTTCTGACCTTTGACCCCCCAGGCCCCCCATCTCTGACCCCTAGAGCCCCGCTTCCCCTCCAAGCCTGACTCACCCCTGTGACTTCGCCCTGACCCTAACAATGCCCTTGGAGCTCACTTTACCTCTGGCTGCTTCATCTCTGACCCTGGCTCCCTTGTGACCCTTGAGCCCTCATGGATCTTTGACCCCTCAAGCTCTTCCAGCCTTGACATTCCCAGGAGGATCCCCGCTATACCCCTTCTGACTCTGGAAACTGCACCTTTAACTTTGTGGGCCATCCTTCACCCCGACCTCTGCTTCATCTTTGACCCCTGCCCCCCATGATTCCCATTTTACCTTTAGATCTATTAGTCCTGGTTGACATTTGACGCTTTCCTCTGCCCTTGCCTCACCTTTGACGCCCCCACCTGAGCCTCAGCTCCTACCTCTGGCACCGACTTCTCTTTGACCCCCTAGGAATCTCAGTTGACCTCTAGACCTGTCAGTCCTGGTTTACACGGGACCCCTCCCTCCAAGCTGCACTTCACCTCTGACCTTGCCTCACCTTTCACCCCCCAGCAGCCCCAGCTCCTACCTCTGACCCCAGCTTCTCTGGCTCCCACAGGCTCCTGCATCCTCCTGCCTCACTCCCGCCAGTCCTGGCCGACCTTAGCTTATCTGGGGGAGAAAGAAGGCCTGGTGCCTGTGAGGGGGAGAGGTTGCCCCTGCCCTCCCTCGCTTCCCTGCCTTGCCCTCGCTAAATAAATGAATTGTCCTGAATGTTTCTGCCCAATTCCTGTTTTGTCTCATACAGCAAATGCAGGCTTTTCTCTACAGAATGGAAGAGGGAACCGATGACATCTCATCTCTGGGTAGGAGGTGTGCTGGGGAGGGGTCAGACGGGCCAGGCTAAGCCACCCGCTAACCCAAATTGACTAAGCTATTTGCCCTCTCTGAGCCTCAGTTTTTCCCACCTGTAAAATGGGATCATGTGTTTTCCCCCAGGATCCCCCCACATCTGTTATAGGAATGGGGTCCCGATCCAGACGCCAAGAGAGGGCAAGAAAGAATTCAGCGCTAGTCTGTAAAGTGAAAGCACGTTTGTTAAGAAGGTAAAGGGGCTGGGCGTGGTGGCTCACGCCTGTAATCCCAGCAATTTGGGAGGCTGAGACGGGTGGATCACCTGAGGCCAGGAGTTCCAAATCAGCCTGGCCAACATGGCGAAACCTCTTCTCTACTAAAAATATAAAAATTAGCCAGGCATGATGGCAGGCACCTGTAGTCCCAGGTACTTGGAAGGCTGAGGCAGGAGAATTGCTTGAACCTGGGAGGTGGAGGTGGCAGTGAGCTGAGATTGTGCCACTGCACTCCAGCCTGGGTGACAAAGCGAGACTCCGTCTCAAAAAAAAAGAATGTCTCCTCCATAGACCGAGCAGCCCTGAGGGCTGCCGGTTGCCCATTTTTATGGTTATTTCTTGATGATATGCTAAACAAGGGGCGGATTTTTCATGCCTCCCCTTTTTAGACTATACAAGGTAACTTCCTGACGTTGCCATGGCATTTGTACACTGTCATGGCACTGGTGGGAGTGTAGCTGTGAGGACGACCAGAGGTCACTCTTGTCACCATCTTAGTTTTGGTGGGCTTTGGCTGGCTTCTTTACTGCAACCTATTTTGTCAGCAAGGTCATTCTGATCTGTATCAGAATTGTTCATGAGGCTTTGAGGAGATCTCAGGAGCATCGAGTGGGTGCTTGGTGGCAAAGGAGCTGCTGTTCTCTGTGTAGCATCTTGCAAATATAGAAGGCAGGAAGGAGAATCTCTAGGGAAGCGTGCCAGTGAGACCGCAGCCTGAGCTGACACCCAAGTGGCAATCCTGCCAGAGTAACCACACAGCTCACCCACATGAAGCTCTTCCATGTACCTGACTCATGCCTCATTTCATGCAAGCCTCACACCAACCCTGGAAGGCCTGAATTTCTAACCCCTTTCAAGCCAAGGTTTAGAGAGAAAAATGTGTATCAGAGAAAAAATAAAATAAAAAAGAAAAAATGTGTATCAGTTAGCTTTTGCTATGTAACAAACAATCCCCCAAAACTTAGTGGCTTAAGACGACAACAGATATTTATTTTGCTCCCAAATCTGTAATTTGAGCAAGGATTGGCGAGGCAGTTCATTCAGGCTCCCCGTGACATCAGCTAAAGCATCTCAGCTGGAGGCAGAGGGAACTACGTCCAAGGTGGCTCACAGCTGATTGGCCAGGTGGTGCCAATTATCAGCTGGGGGCTCAGAAGGAGTACAGAGAGCAATGCCTCTTCATTCTTCACCTTTCTCCTTATACAGAGGAGCTTCTGCTTGGTGACTAATAGTCTACTTGGGCTTCCTCATAGCATGGCCGCTGGGGTTCACCCTGAACAAGCATCCCAAGAGAGCAGGACAGAAGTAAATGTAAAAGAAAAATGGATTGCGTTTTTATGAGCTACCTTCAGAAGTCATACAGTGTCACTTATTCAGGACTCACCATCAAGGCAGTCACTAAGACTTGTTCAGATGCAAAGGGATGAGGTACAGACTCCAACTCTTTTCTTTTTGAGACAGGATCTCACTCTGTCGCCCAAGCTAGAGTGCAGTGATGTGATCATGGCTCACTGAAACCTCAAACTCCTGGGCTCAGGCGATCCTCCCATCTCAGCCTCCAAACTAACTAGGAATACAGGCATGTGCCACCACATCTGGCTAATTATTGTTTGTTTTTAGTAGAGATTAGAGATAGGGTCTCACTTTGTTGCCCAGGCTAGTCTCCTGCCTCAGATTCCCAAAGTGCTGGGATTAAAGGCATGAGCCACCACACCTGGTCCACACTCCAGCTCTTTTGTTTGTTTTTAGAGAGAGTTTCACTCTTGTTGTCCGGGCTGGAGTGTAATGGTGCTATCTTGACTCACTGCAACCTCTGCCTCCTGGGTTCAAGCAATTCTCTTGCCTCAGCCTCCTGCGTAGCTGGGATTACAGGTGCCTGCCACCAAGCCAGCTAATGTTTGTATTTCTAGTAGAGACAGGTTTCACCATGCTGACCAGGCTGGTCTCAAACTCCTGACCTCTGGTGATCCAGCCGCCTCAGCCTCCCAAAGTGCTGGGATTACAGGCATGTGCCACCATGCCCGGCCCACACTCCAGTTCTTTAGTAGAGTGACAAGATTCTAGAAGAGCTTGTAGGATGACCAATAGAGCCATGGCCATCTTTAGAAATTACAAATTTTTGGCCAGGTGCAGTGGCTCACTCTTGTAATCTCAAAATTTGGGGAGGCCAGGGCGGGCAGATTGCTTGATGCAATCTGGCAAAACCCTGTCTCCACAAAAAAAGTTTTTTTTAATTAGCTGGGTATGGTGGTACACACCTGTAGCTCCAGCTACTCAGCAGGCCAAGGTGGGAGAATCACCCAGGCCCAGGAGGTCAAGGCTGCAGTGAGCTGAGCTGTGACTGTACCACGGCACTACAGCCTGGGTGACAGAGTGAGACTCTGTGAAGAAGTGAAAAAAGGAGAGGAGAGGGGAGAGGGGCGGGGAGGGGAGGGGAGGAGAGGGGAGAGGGAAAAAAGTAAAGAAGGAAGTAAAAAAAAGAAAGGAGGAAAGGAAGAAAGGCAGGCAGGCAGGAAAGAAGGGAGGCAGGAAGGCAGGAAGGAATTACTCCAGCCGGAGTTCCGTGTGGGGACCATTCCAGGTATTTTAATCAGAAAGGAACTTAATACAAGAATTGATGGTGCTTGCAAAGTCGTAGGAAGGCACTGAGAGAGTGGGCTGTAGGCTTCTGAAATTTTACTGTGCAAAAGAAATCAGAAGAACAACTCGCTAAAGCACAGCTTCTTCAGTCCCACCCCCTCACAGTTTCAGATTCAGTAAGTAGGTCCAGGGCGGGGCCTGAGACTTTGCATTTTTAACAAGCTCTCAGGAGATGCTAAAATGTGTGAATAAGACCACACGCTGAGCAGCCCCAGAATAGGTAGAACGCTCGTGACACCACGGAGCTGGGTCTCCAAGGAGAAGCTCCTCTGTATAAGGAGACAGGTGAAGAACGAAGAGGGAGTTACCAGAACCGTGACCAGGAAATGGGTCCAAGAACCCAAATTCATGAAAACAAAATGTATAACTTCACAGCCCGCTTCTCAGCAAGACAGACACCCACGCCCACACTACTGCCTCACTTCCACTTTCTGACTCTCTCATGAGCGATTCTCATTGGTGGAACCAATTCTGCATCCAGAAATGCAGCTGCAAAGCCACCTGGGAAATGTAGGGCTTGGGGGAGTTTTTTTCCAGCCTCTGCGTCAGGAAGGCAAGCCAGGGTGAAGGGTAGCTGAGTGGGGGAGACCCTGAGAGCCAAACAGTAATGTCCATGATCTGTGATCCTGGGACCTACTGGAGGCAGGCTTCTCCAGGAGTGACGAAGCCTGGATGTGAGCCCCTGAGGCTGGGGCTGTCCTGCTTACCTCGGCCCAGGGGTCTAGAAATCACAGCCTCCCCAGGCTCAGCCCCATGTCTGAGAGGAGAGAGGCCTTGCAGAGCCTGGTCTCGAGGTCTCGGGCTAGACCACCAGACCCAGGCTGGAGCTCCAGCCTTCTGGCTAGGTCCCCCTGCAGCCAGTAATAAGGAGAGGCATGAGGGAAACAGCCTGGACATCAGCCCACAGCAATGTCAGCGGGCCCAGCACAGCACAGCACTGGGTGGGATGCCAGAACGACAAAGGACCTGAGTACCAGCATGGTGGGTAGACCTGGGCTGGGTTCCCCACTTAGCATCTTCCTTCCTTGCACAAGGCACTTAACTACTCAGAAGTGTGTGTGTGTAGGGGGCGTATTTATTTGTTTTTGTTTTGGGGTTTTTTATTATTTATTTTTATTTTGAGAAAGAGTTTCACTCTTGTCACCCAGGCTGCAGTCCAGTGGCGCGATCTCTGCTCGATGCAACCTCCGCCTCCCAGGTTCAAACAATTCTCCTGCCTCAGCCTCCCAAAGTGCTGGGATTAAAGAGCAAGCAACCACGTCAGGCCAGGTGTAGCTTTTAACCTGTTTCTGAGACAGAGCCTCACTCCGTTGCCTGGAGAGCAGTGGCATGGTCACGGTTCACTGTAGCCTCTAACTCCTGGGCTCAAGGGATCCCCCCACCTCAGCCTCCCGAGTAGCTGGAACTACAGGTGTGTACCACCACACCCAGCTAATTTTTCTTTTTTTTTTTTTTTTAAGCGTAGTCTCACTCTGTCACCCAGGCTGGAGTACTATGGTGCAATCTCAGCTCACTGCAACCTCCACCTCCCAGGTTCAAGCAATTCTCCTGCCTCAGCCTCTGACTAGCTGGGATTATAAGCGTGCACCACTACACCTGGCTATTTTTGTGTTTTTAGTAGAGACGGGGTTTCACCATGTTGGCCAGTTTGGTCTTGAACTCCTGACCTCAGGTGATCCGCTCGCCTCAGCTTCCCAAAGTGACGGGATTACAGGCGTGAACCAATGCACCTGGCCTGCACCCAGCTATTTTTAGATGTTTTTTGTAGAGATGGGGCTTAATATATTGCTCAGGCTGGTCTTGAATTTCTGGCCTCAAGCAATCTTCCAGCCTCAGCCTCCCGAAGTCCTAGGATTACAGGCGAGAGCCACCGTGCCGGGCAAAGTTAAGAGTTTTAAGGTAAGAGGATTATGGCAAATTATCTGGGTGGGTCTGATACAATCACAAGTGTCTTTATAAGAGGCAGGCAGAGGGTGGGAGTCAGAGAAGGGATGACAAAAGCAAGAGTCCAAGCTGGCGAGAGATTTGAAGGTAAATGCTACTGGCTCCGCCAGGCACCGTGGCTCACACCTGTAATCCCAGGATTTTGGGAGGCTGAAGCAGGAAGATTGCTTGAGCCCAGGAGTTTGAGACCAGCCTAGGCGACAGAGCAAGACCTTATCTCTATGAAAATTCTTCTAAGAAGTTACCTGGGTGTGTTGTCACATTCTTGTAGTCCTAGCTACTTGGGAGGCTGGGGTGGGGGGATCACGTGAGCCCAGGAGTTCAAGACTAGAGTGAGCTATGATCGCACCACTGCACTTTAACCAGGGCAACAGATGGACACCCTGTCTCAAAAAAAAAAAAAAAAAGGCCTTGAGGTCAGGATTCCCAGACCAGCCTGGCCAACATGGTGAAACTTTGTCTTCCCCCCCCACCACCCCCCCCCCAAGACGGAGTTTTGCTCTTATGCTCAGGCTGGAGTGAAGTAGTGTGATCTCAGCTCACTGCAACCTCCGCCCTCCAGGGCTCAAGGGATTCTCCTGCCTCAGCCTCCAGAATAGCTAGGATTACAGGCGCCTACCACCACGCCCCACTAATTTTTGTGTTTTTTAGTAGAGACGGGGTTTCACCATTTTGACCAGGCTGGTCTGGAAATCCTGACCTCAATTGATCCACCCACCTCGGTCTCCCAAAGTGCTAGGATTACAGGTGTGAGCCATTGAGCCTGGCCCAGAAACTCTGTCTTTACTAAAAATACAAAAATTAGCTAGGCCTGGTGACAGATGCCTATAATCCCAGCTACTCAAGAGGCTGAGGCAGGATAATCACTTGAACCTGGGAGGTGGAGGTTGCAGTGAGCTGAGATCTCGCCACTACACTCCAGCATGGGCAACAAGAGTGAAACTCCATTTCAAAAAAAAATTAAATTAAGGCCGGGCGCAGTGGCTCAAGCCTGTAATCCCAGCACTTTGGGAGGCCGAGGCGGGTGGATCACGAGGTCAAGAGATCGAGACCATCCTGGTCAACATGGTGAAACCCCGTCTCTACTAAAAATACAAAAAATGAGCTGGGCATGGTGGCGCGTGCCTGTAATCCCAGCTACTCAGGAGGCTGAGGCAGGAGAATTGCCTGAACCCAGGAGGTGGAGGTTGCGGTGAGCCGAGATCGCGCCATTGCACTCCAGCCTGGGTAACGAGCAAAACTCCGTCTCAAGAAAAAAAAAAAAAAAAAATTAATAAAAAAGAGCTACAGACTTTGAAGATGGAGGAAGGTCATGAGACACAGAATGTAGGTGGCCTCTAGAAGTTAGAAGAAAAAATGAATCATATTCTTCCCCAGAGCATCCCCAAGGCACAATCTGGTTGACACCTTGACTTTATTCCAGTGAAAACAATACCCTGTCTCTCATCAATGCAGACTTTAGCATCTTAGTGTTGTTTTTTTTTTTTTTTTTTTTTTTTTTTTTGAGATGGAGTCTCACTCTGTCGCCCAGTCTGGAGTGCAGTGGCGCAATCTTGGCTCACTGCAACTGCAACCTCTGTCCCGGGTTCAAGCGATTCTCCTGCCTCAGCTTCCTGAGTGGCTGGGACTACAGGCGCATGCCACCATGCCTGGCTAATTTTTTTTTTGTATAGCATCCTCTTTTAAAGGATAGTAAATAGGACAGGTGCAGTGGCTCACACCTGTAATCCCAGCACTTTGGGAGGCTGAGGTGGGAGGATCCCATGAGCTCGGGAGTTTGAGACCAGTCTGGGAAATATGGCGAAACCCCATATCTTCAAAAAATACAAAAATTAACCAGGCATGGTGGCTTGTACCTGTAGTTTCAGCTACTAGGGAGGCTGCGGTGGGAGGATCCCTTGAGCCCAGGAAGTTGAGGCTGCAGTGACCTGTAATTGTGCCACCACACTCCAGCCTGGGCAACAAAGTGAGACCCCATCTCAAAAAAAAAAAAGGAACTGTGTGCCAGCCAGACGACTTGACTCTCCTCATCATCTTAAACTCGAAGTGGCCACCAAAGAACTCCTGATTCCACTCCCAAAAATGTCATCTCCCCCAGTAAATGGCACCACCATCCGCCCAGTTGCTGAAACCCCAAATCTAGGAGTCAGTCTTGATTTACTGCTTCCTGCAGCCGGAAGTGTGTTCATCCCATCTTGCTGAGTCCGTTGTCTCTGCCTCCAAAATGCATCCTGAATCCAGCCCCTTCTCTCCACCTGTCTCCACCTGGTCTAAGTTATCATGACTGCTCATCCAGACAACGACTCAAGGTGCTTCTCTGGGGTTCCCTCCTGTCAGCATATTGTCCATCAACAGAAGCCTGAGAAGTGTCCTTATATGCAAATCAGAGCTTGTCACTCCCATGCTCAGAACCCCCACAACTCCTGTCTCATGCAGATCGATCCCCACTCACCTTGGTGTCCAAGGTTTCACGTCATCCACCCCTTGTTGACTATTGTGACCTCAACCCCGAACCTGTCAACCCTCTCCTCTTCACGTATTAAGCAAAAACTACAATGACCTTCTCTTTGGACTCAGTCATATCAAGCTCAGTTCAACCTCACAGACTTAGCACTTGCTGTTCCTGAATGTTCTTTCCCCAGATAGGTGTACTGTAGGACTGACCCATTTCTCATCTTGCAGGTTTCACTTCAAGATGACACCACCTCCTCCTCCGAGCAGCCTTCTCTGGTTACTCTAAATTAAATTAGTACCCTGCTACTCTCCATCAGTTATTTTATTTTACTGATAGAGCCTATCGCTGCCAGGCGCGGTGGCTCCCACCTGTAATCCCAGCACTTTGAGAGGCCAAGGCAGGTAGATTACTTCAGGTCAGGAGTTCGAGACCAGCCTGGCCAACATGGTGAAACCCCATCTCTACTAAAAATATAAAAAATTAGCCTGGTGTGGTGGTGTGCACCTGTAATCCCAGCTACTCAGGAGGCTGAGGCAGAAGAATAGCTTGAATCCAGCAGGTGGAGGTTGCAATGAGCCGAGATCATCCCAGTGTACTCCAACCTGGGCGACAGAGCAAGGCTCTGTCTCAACAAAACAAAAAAACAGTTGTGTGTACAGCAGTAGTGGTAGTAGTTTTTGTTTTTTGAGACGGAGCTTCACTCTTGTTGCCCAAGCTGGAGTGCAATGGCGTGATCTCAACTCACCGCAATCTCTGCCTCCCGGGTTCAGGCACTTCTCCTGCCTCAGCCTCCTAAGTAGCTGGGATTACAGGCATTCGCCACCACGCCCAGCTAATTTTGCACTTTTAGTAGAGACAGAGTTTTACCATGTTGCCCAGGCTGGTCTTGAACACCTAACTTCAGATGATCCCCACCCCCCACCCCCTCCCATGGCCTCCCAAAGTGCTGGGATTACAGGTGGGAGCCACTTTGCCTCAGCCTAATTTTGTGTTTTTAGTAGAGACAAGGTTTCTCCATGTTGGTCAGGCTTGTCTCAAACTCCCAACCTCAGATGATCCGCCTGCCTCAGCTTCCCAAAGTGCTGGGATTACAGGTGTGAGTCACCATGCCCTGTCTCTTTTATGAAGGCATTAATCCCGTTGTTGATGGTGGATACCTCATGACCTCGTCACCTCCCAAAGGCCCCGCCTCTTACCACTCTGTACTGCCTTGAGGATTTAGGTTTCGACATATAAATTTTGGAGGGACACACATTCGGATGACAGCACGAGTCCGTCAGACTCCATGTGGATGTGGTTGATGGGGTTCTCTCTGTGTGTCCAGTGACTGTGGGTACCAGGCGTTTTCCCAACACACTGGTCTGAGTCTGTCTCCAGGATTTTGTGTCTGGGTGTAACCATGAATGACTGTATAACGTTCCGTTTTTGTGCCTGCAAATGTGTTCACATATCCTGTCTCACCATGACTACATCTGTCCACCTGTGTGCCTGTGTCTTTTTTGTTGTTTTCATTTGCTTGTTCTTTTGTTTGTTTGGAGACAGGGTCTTGCGCTGTTGCCCAGGCTGGAGTGCAGTGGCAGGATCCCAGCTCACTACAGCCTCCACCACCTGTGCTCAAGGGACCCTCCCACCTCAGCCTGTGGAGTAGCTGGGACCACTGCACCTAGCTAAATTTTTAATTTTTGTAGAGATGGGGTCTTGTTTTATTTATTTATTTATTTATTTTTGAGATGGAGTCTTGCTCTGTCACCCAGGCTTGAGTGCAGTGGCATGATCTTGGCTCACTGCAACCTCTGCCTTCTGGGTTCAAGCAATTCTCCTGCCTTAGCCTCCTGAGTAGCTGGAATTATAGGCGTCCGCCACCACACTTGGTGAATTTTTATATTTTTAGTAGAGACAAGGATTTACCATGTTGGCCAGGCTGGTCTCAAACTCCTGACCTCGTCATCCACCCTCCTCAGCCTCCTAAAGTGCGGGGATTATGGTCGTGAGCCACCGCGCCCAGCTGAGATGGGGTATTGTTATATTGCTCAGGCTGGTCTTGAAGTCCTGGACTCAAACAATCCTACCTTGGCTTCCCAAAGTACTGGGATTACAGGCATGAGCCACTGCACCCAGCCCCTGTATCTTTCACAGTCTGCAACGTGGCTTGGAGGTGTCGGGCTGTCTTGAGTATCTGGCTGTCGTGTAAGTCCAACTGCATCTCTCTCTGCATGTGGCTGGGTCCAGGCTGTGTCTATATCTGGTCATTACTTGCTCTATGTCTGTGCTGTGTGTCTCGATCTATCTGAGTCTACTTCTCTGTTATTCTGTTTGTATCAACGGCTGTGGTCTCTGTGTATCTGTTTATCATATCTCTGTCTCTCTGTCTTCTTTTTTGTTTTTGAGAGGCAGTCTCACTCTGTCGCCCAGGCTGGAGTACAATGGCGCAATCTCGGCTCACTGCACCCTCTGCCTTCTGGGTTCAAGTGATTCTCCTGCTTCAGCTTCTAAAGTAGCTGGGAATACAGGCACATGCCACAATGCCCAGCTAATTTTTGTTTTTGTTTTTGTTTTTTTTTTTTTTTTGGAGACGGAGTTTCGCTCTTGTTACCCAGGCTGGAGTGCAATGGCGTGATCTCGGCTCACCGCAACCTCCGCCTCCTGGGTTCAGGCAATTCTCCTGCCTCAGCCTCCTGAGTAGCTGGGATTACAGGCACGCGCCACCATGCCCAGCTAATGTTTTTGTATTTTTAGTAGAGACGGGGTTTCACCGTGTTGACCAGGATGGTCTCGATCTCTTGACCTCGTGATCCACCCGCCTCGGCCTCCCAAAGTGCTGGGATTACAGGTGTGAGCCACCGCGCCCGGCCTAATTTTTGTATTTTTTAAATGAGAGGCTGGGCGTGGTGGCTCACTTTGGAAGACTGAGGCAGGTGGATCACCAGGTCAGGAAATCATGACCAGCCTGGCTAACACAATGAAACACCATCTCCACTAAAAATACAAAAAATTAGCCAGATATGGTGTCGGGTGCCTATAGTCCCAGCTACTTGGGAGGCTGAGGCAGGAAAATTGCTTGAACCCAGGAGGTAGAGGTTTCAGTGAGCCGAGATATGAGACTCTGTCTCAATAAATATATACATACATACATAAATAATGGGATTTCATCATTTTGACCAGGCCGGTCGAAAACTCCTGACCTCAAGGGAACCCCCTGTCTTGTCTTTCTGTGCACAACGGGTGTGTACCTGTGACTACGTTCTTTTTTTTTTTTTTTTTTTTTGAGACAGGATCTTACTTTGTTGCCCAGGCTGGAGTGCAATAGTGCAATCATGGTTCACTACAGCCTCGAACTCCCTGGACCCAGGCGATCCTTCTGGGTCAGCCTCCTTAGTAAGCTGGGACTACAGGTGAGTGACATCACACCCAGCTGTAATTTTTCTTTTC